TGTCCTTGTACATCCTGTAGGCGGCGCGTTCGGACATGTGAGCCGACTCCATGGCTTGTCCCGTGAGGATAAAGTAGATGGCGCCCTCGAGGTAGAGCAAACCCTGCGTCGTCACATCGCTCTCTTCGTCGGCGCTGTGCTTGAGTCGCTTCGCCTCGGCCAAGTACTGCTCCTGATAGCTACAAAATCACCAATAACAATATTTGCTTAGCAAACATTTCGTATTTTCTGGGGGAGTGGGGGGGGGGGGGCAATGCGTGTAATATGCGACATCCTCGTAAGGTTTCGTCAGCACTCGCTTATGCCCTTGGCGAGTCATTGCCGGGACCTTGCCAATGACGAATGACGCGCCGCGATTACAAATCCCCGTTATAACCAGGCAAAGTAAACAATGTCACGCAGGGGCCTTACCTGTCCAGGTCTTCCGATACGTCGTTCTGCATATAAAAGTAGGAATAGAAGACGCGTTGCGGCGGCGGCGGCAAGAGACTCATGTCAGGTTTATCTTCCCGCTCGTGATTCGTCGGTTGTGCGTCGTTATGCTGCGAAAATTAAAGATAAACAATATTAGTGGCATAATGGGCTCGTGGAGGCTCGCAAGGATGACGAGGAAAGTGACAATTATTCGCGAACGATAATTCCAGGCTTTATCTGGCCAACACCGTTACGCGTAATATCTCCGTGACAATCGTCGACACTTGAGAATAGAAAATGTGCACGTTACATGTCATTTCTCTGTTGTAGCCAAGGCGATAAAAGTTCCATACTCTCAATCAATATTAACGGGCAACGTCCATTAGCACAATATTCGGAAAGCAAAACTTTCAATAAGTAATACTACGCGAATTTTCTATTTAGCATTTCGTGAAATGTCATCGTTTGGCTCTCCGAGATCTTCAATTAAAGTTGTAAGAGCGAGTAAGAGAGGAGATCCTTACTTAAATTGAATTAAAGGAAAACTTTTTTTTTTAATTCATAGCTTAATGAGATCCTTAATTTATAACTGCAATTGTAGAGGCTCGTAATATTTTGTCGCTGAAGTGGCTCTACACACCCACTTTGCAATTACAGCGACGTTCCGACGACTCTCATTGACCTTAGAGCATCGAATGTTGAGTATTGAATGTTAAATCGTAAGTTATATAGTCGGTTAAATAGTAGGTTAAATCCTAGGTTAAATAGTAGGTTAAATCGAAGGTTAAATCGTAGGATAAATCGTAGGTTAAAGCATAGGTTAAATCGTTGGTTAAATTATAGGTTATATAGTCGGTTAAATCATAGGTTAAATTGTAGGATAAATCATAGGTTAAATCGTTGGTTGAATCATAGGTTATATAGTCGGTTAAATCATAGGTTAAATAGTAGGTCGAAGGTTGAGCCCGGACAATGAAGGATCGGTGGGGAAGGCGATGATCGCCCGGCATCTCCCGATAGTCACGGGACGGGAGTGGGTGTGGTCCTGACCGAGTGGGAGGGTAGCTCTCACCTGGCTCGCGGAGAACCTGGCGAGGCTCTCCTGCTCTTGGTGCTTCCTCTTGCGCTTTTTCTTCTCCTCCTTGGACTCGATCTTCACCTTCGTGTCGAGGGAGCAGACGGTGCCGAGGCTCGAGACCGAGCTGCAGCTCTCCTTGCGTTTCCTCTTGACGCCACTGCCGGTGGTCGCGAGTTCGCAGGTTTCCCCGTGGCCGCTAGTTTTGGCTCCGAGGCTGCCTACGCCACTCCCGGTTCCGGCGGCCTCTCCCATCGACGCGATCGGCTTCGCGTCCACGGACTTGATGACGTCCGGCACATCGGTCTTGATACCGACTCTGCCGCCAACGCCAACACCCACGCCAACGCCGATGCCGACACCAACGCTGCCGGTGACACCTGCGCCAAGACCAATGCCGCTGCCGACTTTCGCGGGCGCGGTCACCGAGTCGCTGTCCTGGGCCACCGCGGGGATGCTGGCCCCGCTGCCACGAGACTCTACGATCTCGCCTTCCTCCGGCGTCGTTGGCCTCTGCGATTGACTCTGCGTTGTCGTCAGGGCGCTCGGTTGTTGTCTGTCGACAAAAATGAGAAATTCTGGTTACTCTCGTGATTGACTACTAATCGAGTCTAAGTCTCTCTCTCTCTCTCTCTCTCTCTCTCTCTCTCTCTCTCTCTCTCTCAATTGCTTAACAAAATTTAACAGAACCAATGCTATTGGAAATCTTGGGGTAGAGTGAAATTTGGTCTGTTCATTTTTGCCAACTGCGGGGGAAAGATTTATTTTTATTTATTAGAAGTGTCGAGGGGCACTCACCTCGAGGATGGCCTCGTGTCGGGCATCTCGGTCCTCTGTCTGATCTCCTGCCCCCTCGCGGGCTTCGGTACGTGCCCGAGTCTGCTGAGCTCGAGCCTGCAAACGAGCCTGGGCATGCCGTTGACGTAGGTGAGGGCCGGGAAGCCGAGTCTCTTGTCCTCGGTGCGCTCGAGAATGACCGGCTGGACGGTAGCGGCTGCGACGACAACGGGTGAAGGACGCTTGTACGGACTCTCGCTGCCCGTGGGCGTGTTCGAGGTGTACTCCTCTACGTAGATACCGCACTTTCCGCCGCCTTTGCCGCCCTTGCCGCCCTTGCCGCCTTTGCCGCCCTTGGCACGGGAATCGACGAAGAGGCGGCGTAGGGCGCTCTTCTTGTTATCCTGCACGGTGGCGCCGCTCTCTTCCTGGACCTTCACCGAGGCCGGGCTATTGTCACTATCCGAGTTCTCGGGACTGGTGGCCCGCGTCGGTGGCGCACGGGGCCTCGGCTGCACTCGGGCGACCTGTCGACGTACACAAGTCAGTCGTTTCGATCATTCGTTTCTCAATCTCTCAATCGGTATCCTCCCGTTCGAGTGCTCGAGGCATCCCCGCCCTTACCCCACGTGTCTCCTTGACGTTTCGCCTCACATCATATCATATACCCAATCAAAGGCATTGGACGCGACAATTGCATTCAAGTACGCTACATACGATCCCACCCTTGTCGCAGCGCAGACCAAAAGGCCAAAAGCAATCAACCAAAATCAATTGAATTTACGAAATTTGCTTTGCGGGTCTTTTGGTCCAGTGTAGAAGCAAGCAGACACCGTGAAACATAGGCTTGACAGTGTGAGATTTACATCTCATATTCCCACGATAACTCTACTACTAGAATGTTTTTATGCTTTTCGTAAGATTATGAAATTTATTATACCGAGTTATCATCATCATCATCATCATCTTCATCATCATCATCATCATCGTCATCATCATCATTATTGTTGCTGTTGTTATTTGTTAAATGTTATTGTTGTTGTTGTTGTTGTTGTTGTTGTTGTTGTTGTTGTTGTTGTTGCTCATTGCAACGTTTATAGAGTTGTCATGCGAATATGAATATATTACCGCAACTATTATTACGACAATGATCGCTAATAGCCTACCTGACAGCAGACCTAATATTTCGTAAATTAACGTTTCGTAATCAACCCTCGCGAAAGGCTAATGAAACCCGTTGTTCGGCTCGCAAATTCATTTATTACAACAGCACATTTCCACGTATTATGGTCATGGCATATTACGTAAGGTGGATATCGCTTTTTTTTTTTTTTGCTTTTCGAACAGTCGAGACATCTCTGTAATGCGGAGAATAAAAATAAAATAGAAAAGTACCTTCGAGCGAAACTGTATAAGCAATGAATATACATACATATATATATATATATATATATATATATATATATATATATGAGACATCTCTGTAATGCGGAGAATAAAAATAAAATAGAAAAGTACCTTCGAGCGAAACTGTATAAGCAATGAATATACATACATATATATATATATATATATATATATATATATATATATATATTTAGAAGGTATTGAGTGCGATAATACATCGAATCGTAAGTATTTGTAATTTATTACCATACGATAGCACTCGCTGGTCAATGCTATCGTAACTCAGACATCAAAAGTTCGAAAAACATTTGCTTTTCGGGCGTAAAACGTGGAAGAGAGACGGCAAATTGACCTCTGCCTTGCATTTTAAGCATCGACCGCTGCTCGTACGACTCCATCTATACCGTTTACGCGTGGAGAATAATTTGTTAACGAATGCCGCAAGATGCGTCGCGTTAAACCGATCAAGTAGTTATCGAAGCGACAAAAGTAATTTCTGCCCGACTCTCATATTTATGCTTAACATTTTTTTTTTTTTTTTTTTATTTTTTATTTTTTATAATTAATCCCGGAGAAATGGGGATTTTTCGAAGAATGGACAAACCTTTCGATTGGTCCTCAATGCCACCTCCGACTCGCTATCCGACTCCGACGGACATTCCGGAGCACTGGTTACCCGGGACCTTTGCCTCCTTGGCTTGAGTTTCGGTGGGCTCTTTTTCTTCTCCGGTACTTTCTTCGGCGAATCGCTCAATTTGCTACTTCTCTTCAATGACGACAACCTGCAACAATCATTTAGCTCATCTCAATCAATCAGTCCGCAATTTTTACGCAGACGCTGCTCCATCAACGTCGTCGAACATTCCTTCGACCTTTCTACCACAAAGGCGAACCTCTTTTACAAGAAAACGACAAAACCATGTAGTAAAGAGTCCCGGGACCCATTTCACTTGTCGCCAAACACACCAAAAACCAAGATTAATTAGAGATTAATTACAAATTGACGGATTTGAAGAACAGTCAACGAGTTTTATGGTTGATGAGTTGATGAGCCAGCACTTCAGATCCTTTCATCGCGTCTGCTTTAACGCTTCTACGCAACAAATTCGTAGACTAATGTAACCGACCGCAGTTGCAGCAAATTCGTTCGAGCAGGACTCGTTTATTATTATTGTTATTGTGATGATTCAAGGACCGAGTCTGAAAGATCTACGAGTAAGGTGGCTTACGTACCTGCTCCAAGGCGCGTCCTCCTCGTGGGACCTTTTCCCCCGCCTGCGCTGCCTCTCAACTTCCTCCTGGTCATCCTCCTCCTCCTCCTCGTCCTCGTCCTCATCCTCCTCCTCTTCCTCCTCCCGCACGATCTCCTCCACCTCCTCCTCATCTTCCTCGCGCTCTTCCTCTTCCTCTTCTTCGCGCTCCTCCTCCTCCTCGTTCTCGTCCTCATCGTCGTTTTGATCGTCGTCATCGTCGTCGTCGTCGTCGTCGTCGTCGTCGTCGTCGTTGCTGCTGGAGACGCTGAGCCTCGGTCGATGGTGCCTGGCCTCGGTGATGGGCGAGGGCACCGGCGCCCGTCTGCTGTGGCTCGACGGCGGTGGAGGTGGGGCCGACTCGTCGTCGTCGTCGTCGTCGTCGTCGTCGTCGTCGTCGTCGTCGTCGTCGTCGTCGTCGTCGTCGTCGTCGTCGTCGTCGTCGTCGTCGTCGTCGTCGTCGTCGTCGTCGTCGTCGTCGTCGTCGTCGTCGTCGTCGTCGTCGTCGTCGTCGTCGTTGTCGTCGTCGACGCCGACGTCGTCAACGCGGGCTTGGAGATCGGCTGCTTCTTGGCTCGCCGGGGCGGACTGCCCGCGGAAGCGGCGCTATTGCGCTGGCGATTCCGCTTGGCCGGGACCTTAGACTCCTCGATGGGGATCGTCGACATCGTCGCCACCCCCGCCAAAGTCTTCGGGCTCTTGTCCGTTTTACGAGGACGGCCTCTTTTGCGCACGTCCGGCGGCTTTGGCTTCTCCGCCTGCACCTAATCGCGAAACGAGACTTTACTC